ATTCCGAAGATAAGAACTAAGTACTTTTGTAAAACTCAGAGTATTTTCTTCACCCTGCACCTATATGCATACACTTATGTATAAACATACATGTTTATATGTATATATGGGCATATAATCCACAGTATATGTAAGACCAAAATGAAATTTGAGCTGAACTGAGACACAAGTATGCTCTGTAAACAGATATATTTCAATTAGGAAGTGCAACTATCAATTTATATCTCTATTTTTTTTTTTAAGTATGGACAACAGAACTACTGCAATAAATGTTTTCAAAATATTCTTATTCCCCCAAACAAGCTTCACCTGAGAAGTGTACTTATACTTTTTTTGTAGTCATAAGTACCTTGCAGAGCATGACGATCAGAGTGATAATTCAGGTAAGATGAAATTCTTGAATATGAAGACTTTTAAGTCCACTTTAAAAGACCCTTAAGGTAGTTAAAATGTCTTTAATTAGGATTCTTATAGTTTTGTACTTGGTGAGGATGTTCTCATAATTTTAATGGCAATTTAGATTATCTACCATTTTCCCATTGTCTTCTGCAGAATTGCTTATGGAAAATATATCTCATGAACTGGCTTAGTGCCCTGAGAATCCCCATTTATGCTTGTTAAAATGAGATTTGTGAGTGTTTAGGTTCAATGTTTTGTCATTTCCATGTTTACGACTTTGACCTATTTTCTTTCTTCCCAAAACTTCTCTCCTCTTCACAGTGAATATTTGTTCATGAATCACTTCTGTGCTGATTTCTGTTTATTCTCTTATGATTGTGTCTGTCCACCTTAGCTTAAAACCAGGAAGTCTCAACTTGCCAGTAATGGGGATGTTAGAATAAAAATTTAGATGCTTAAAGGACATGAGGGTTTTTTAGCTATTTCTTTGAAGGGTGAACTGCTGTTCAGATAGTTCACATCCTCATTAAAGTAAAACAACAGTGAATCAGATTCCCAAATAATGTAAAGGAGAGCTGAAACTTGCCTTCCACTGGTACCAACATGGGCCCATCTTCCTGATTGTTCTTTTTATTCCCTTCCTCTGTGAAGTTTGGCTGATGGCTGTAGCTCACTCTGACTATTCAGCACAGGCCATTCTCAAAGGGAGGAGAAAAAAACACCTCTGAGAATCTCTGATGAGTTGTAGAGTTCATAAAGATAGAAGTTAAATGAGTAATTTGACAGTAACTTAGAAAGATGAAGGCCTTCCAAGTGTTAAAACAAGAAATTACCTGGCACTTGGCACTCCTGCTGGGTTGCTGAATGTAGCTGGTGTCCTCAGATGGCACATGCTTGTTATCAGGTGATCTTTGTCCCATTACTACATTTCCATGTCTGAAATTATAGATTAAACCTAGCATGCTTGGCAACATTATTATAAAGTATAACATTCCTGGTGTAATTAGCAGTGAAGCAAATTGTGACGTACCCACGTTGGTGCAATTACCCCAGCATAACTTGTTGGCCTACTGTATTCAACAGCAAGTGAAACTCTCTAGGAAAGTGATTTTTGTAATGACTGTGAACACCATTGTCTGTTTAAATGAGTTTATGAGCACCTCAACAGCTATTCTGAATGGCTGCTACTACCTGATGAGAAGTAGTGGTTCATAACTGCAGATGAGCAACAACTTTCAAATTTCAAATTGCTACCCCCTCGTCTGTTTTCTCCAGAATATTCAATTTTAGGTTACACAATTTCTTTTTTCAATATGGCAGTTAGACTGCTCCCATTTTGTTCAGACAGTGCTGTTTGCCAGTCAAAGCCATCTTCCTATAGAGAAGCTTTCAGCTCCAAAGATTCCAACCTGAGCATGAGTTTAGAGAAAAGGTCAATCCATATGGGAAGAAGAGGCCTCTGTTTTCCAGTGCCTCTCCCTTCCTTTGGGACCCAGAGATAAAGTTTTGCTAAGAGGCTGGTGGACATTTCTCCACTGTTATGTCCTTGAGACAGTCCTGCACGAGCCAGCTTGGGAATTGAGGTAGGGAAGCTGCAGCAGTTCAGTTCTGATGTCGAGCTTGATGTGAGCAGGGCTTCTTAACTTGGGAATGGCACCACAGTAATTAGGACTGCTAATTGTGAGACTGAGCTATGTTTGTGTGGCTCTCTGCTGGACTGTGAGCCCACAGCAAGGCAGGCAGACTGCTGAGGGTGACAAACCCACCTGGCTTTGCTGCTTATTCGCCTGTGTACCTTTCCAGGCACTGCTGTTTCCAGTGCTCCCAAGGAAGGGTCCTGGCAGGTGTAGGAGAGCAGCTGCTGCTGTGGAATGCAATAACCTCTCTGAGTTGGAGGATTAAAGGCTTTAATCTCTTCCATCCCTGTTACAACAGAAATATCTTAGAATTTCTCCTCCTGTGGCTCTGCAGCCCAGTTTTACCTCTTTGCTCCCTCCCTACATACTTACTGTGGCCTAAAAACTCTGTCTCCTCATCTTTGGGAAGGAGAAAATGACCCTTGGCCACAGGGTGGGAAAACTTGAGTCAGCTCTGTATTCTGATTTGCTTAGGTCAAATTCAAAGATCTTCAGCATTACAGGTTTTGCTGTTCTGTGTGATCAACATTCTGATTTTTTTTTGGTGGGGAAAAACAGAATAAGTATTCATTGTATTTTCTTATGTATTTGCATAAAGCTCAGCATGGAGGGAAACAAACTGCACTTCCTCACATGGGCAAGATACTTCTTTTTCCCTCTCTGCAGATGTAGTGCTGACTGAAGCCCAGCATTTGCTTACTAGAAGAGTAAAAGCCAAGGGAAGAATAGTTTAATATTCATTTAATTTTCATTCAAGGAACCAAATTTGATCAGTGGTCAGTCATAGAAGTGTTCCATCTTCCTTTCCTGCTGCAGTTTCCAATGAGTTACAACAGTAAGAACAACTGCAATTCTTTAGTTCTTAATGTTTTGGCTTTGTTGAGTTTTTGTTTTGGTTTTGTTGTTTTTTGGGGTTTTTTAAAATTTATTTTTCCTAATTTTCACATTTTCATTTAATTTCATGAAATCTTATAGTTGTACAGAAAGAAGGGAATGATGTCTTTTCACTGGGTAGCTGCAATCCAGATTGCCTTAATTTCCAGGCTCAGTTTCTTGAGTGAAAGCTTTCAAAACTAGGACTCATTAAAACCCAGTGTAGCTGAGGCCTTTTAAAACTTTTTAAAATTCTTAGAATTATTAAAGATCTCTTTAACTTGCAACACTGAAATGCTGTTTAAAAGTGCAACCTTGACTGTTTAATTAGTCTGAAGCTTACATTGTTTGTAGCCATAAAATGTGTCCTTCTGTAGCTACGCTGAACTTTCCAAGGATGGGATCTGAGCGTGGGCACAAGAAATGTTGCCATTGTATAATCAAATTTTTATTTGAAAAAGATTGAAGGCTGCACTGTTTTCTTAGAGGAGAGATTGCATCTGAAAACTTGTCATGGTCCAACTCCTGTTATTTTTAGTTGAGCTGCAAAAGCATTGTTGAAAAATGCCCTGTACTGTCTGGAGAAATCAAGGATTTGTTCTTCTGCCTTAGGGGCTTTTCTTTCTGTCCTTCTTTGGAGAAGAACACAACTCGTTAAACTTTGAGGTAATGCAAATGAGCTTCTGAAGGCATGCTCTGATGCTGAAGAAAGTAATGGCTAATTTCAGCTTCAATCCAAAGGGTACTGAGTGTAAATGCAAAGCATCCTCCCTTTGATATCAGCAAAACTTCATCCTTATTTCCCTTATCTAGGAAACTTGAGCCAAGAGGCAGGAACTACATTACATGCTTTATTCCAGGGGGTGATGGATCTGTGCATCTCTCCACCTCCAGAATCTCCTCTGTATCTAAGTTTTCCAAAAAACAGATCAAGGTCCAGCAGTTTGAAATACAAAACTGCGGAGGGTGTGTGAGATCTGCCTTCTGAAGCAGAAATGGATGGGAAGGGAAGGATGGAGTGGTTCCTGTCTCCCCACAAGGCACACTAGTGATGACATTATTTCTCTCATTATTAGAGCTCTAAGGTAGTGCAGGGTGTTTTCATACACCATTCTTGAAGATCCAGAGAACTGCCAGCAGCAGAAGGTGTTATGAAATTTGGGATATGCCAACAGATGCAGAACATGAGTCCTCCACTCCCAGCCACAGCTCCTTCCCAGCACAGTGGAGATGGAAAAATGAGTGGAAGAAAGGAGGGAAGGGAGGAAGGAAGGATCACTGAACTATTAATGCCTCCACAGTTCTTATCTCCTCTATTCCCTATCAGTGCCAAACTGTACTGGATGTGTGTCCTGAGCTGCTAAATAGGGAAGTTGTACATTTTATGATTTGGCATTTTATGATGCCAAAGTTGCATTGGGGCAGCACAGCATCACAGCACTGATCAGAATATTTTGATAGATTTTAAGCCTGTGGACATTGAATGAACATGATCACTGGATAAACTGATTCATGATGAAATTTTCTGATCAAAAATCTTAGGAATTTAGTGTCAATTACCCTATCTCATTTCATTTGCCATATAATCTTTTTTACTTTCTGCGAATTTTTACAAATTAACCAACCTAGACTTTATTTTCTCTCTCTTTTTAAGAGAAGGCAATTAAATTCTACTTCTCTTTTTATTGAAATGAACAAAAGTACTGTGAATAGAGTGCCCTTACCTTCTCTTGAAAAATATTACCAGTATGCTGGGCACTGTCTCTGTATATCAGTATTAACCAGTAGGACCAGGTTCTTTTCTCAGCCCTGGCAATGTGCAAAGGACAATTGGTTTTAAGAGTGTTACTGGACATAGTACATCACAAAACTAGGCACAGCACAGATTCTTGTGAAGATTCAGATGTGATTCTTCAAAGATGCATCTTGCACGAGAGTTTTAGTGGTTATTGTTTGAGGTGTGAGAGGAAACCTCTGCAAACTGATGGTGGTCTCTAGTTGGGAGAAAACACTCTTCCTACAGTTAATAGTCCTTCACTTGAACATTTGCTGCCTCTATTCTATTTTCCTCCCAGAAAAATGGGAAAAAAACAACAGTTCCCTTAGCTTCCCTTGGATGTGGTTTTCATCCTTTCTCCCAGATTGATTTTTGACTAGAAGCCAAAAGCTACACAGAGACTCAATGATTGAGTGCTCATCTGAACCCAGGATTCTCCTGCCTTTCAGTACCACTCCAACCACTAGACCACAACAGCATCTTAGGCTGCCTCAGAAGAGAGTCATCCTTGTGGGAAAGGGAGGAAAATTCCCAGCAGAACTCCCTTGGACTTCTGACCTTCGATAAAAATGAGGAAACAGCACTTCTGATTTTCAAGAGATTACCATTATCATTATGTTTCCCTTAAAGAAGACATGTCAAGCTTTCACAAATTAAACCCAAGCAAGCTCTGTGTAGTTTTTTTTTAAGTTCCTTATTTGTTTTGCTAATAACTCCTTGACATATTCAGACAGCTCCCACATTAACAGAAGGTTTATTTTTGCTACTAGCCTTATGCATTTATGAATGTATTTTGGTATAAAAATAAAATTGTAGAATGATAGTGGTCATATCACTCTATTCATTATAGAGAATGGGCCAAAATCTCCATCAAATTGTGTTACAGCACATGGACTGTTAGCAGATGGTGGTTACTGAAGTCTGAGTCGGTTGAGCCTCAGCTTTTTCCTCACAGTGAGTACATGAATGTGAGTTATGCCTGACTGCTGGTAAATCTCAGCCATAAACTGCTGATATATTTGGGAAAGGGAACGCATTTATCACACTCTTTTCAAAGAGAATCCTCTTTACTGATGTGTTTTGATATGGCTTGTGCTTTTCAGACCCAAAAAGAGCTTGGTTAAAAACTAACAGGGGTTTTAGCAGAGGTTCAAAATGCTTCTTTGAATTCTGTGTTTTTGTCAAGATCTGCATGTTTTTTCTGTCTCTAAGGGATTACTTGTGTAGTTTATGCTTACCTTGTTATGATTACCTTGTTTAAACAACTTACAGAACTAATCCCAACTATTTGAGGAAAGAAGGGAACCTTTTTCTCCCCATCCAAATGACTTTTCTTTTTGTTTTTAAACTGCATTCAGGCATTTTCTGCATCCCTACCTTGTTCTGATTTTGCAAAACCTATTAATGCCAACGTTCTTGCACACAGATGTTTTGCTGAATTAAATATATTCCTTCTATTTTAGCATGTAAAATTTGAGAAAATAAAAAGATGTGGATAAATGAGTTTCCACAACTTACTCTACAGCACTATGTTGCTCTGTGTAAGTCTCAGGCAAAGAGATGAGCAAAGAAAGACTTTGTTTGCAGTCGTGTTTCATCTTCTTGTAAAGAAGACTGAAAAAATAAATGATGCACAGGTTGATTTAAGCCAGAACCTGGCCATAACTCTGGGTTGTTCTATGGCCCACACTCTGCAAGCACAAACACAGGAGCTTATCGTGGTGTACAAAGATAATCTCACAAGAAATCATGGAAGTCAGAGACTGCTGGAATGAGTATAAACACATGTATAAGGGCTTTCAGGATAAAACATAAATGCTGATTTACTGCCTAGGCAATCTTCAGTACCACCTACTTTGGTTAAGTGTTCGTCGTTTATCTGTAATGTCTTGTATGTGTGCCCATTGTTCTATGTGACAACGAAGAAATACAAAATATCAGTGAGTGCAAAGCTGCCAGATCACAAATACCAAAGGTTCAGAGCTTGCACTGGGAATGCAGTGCAACAAATTGTTGTAGATATTGCACAGACAGTGTTGGCTCACCAAAGAAACAGCAACACACAGGTCAGCTTTTGTCCATTTGAGTTTTGTTATGAGAAATGGAAATATTTACTTTCCAAATCTTCTACTTTCTTTCTTTATATTCTCACAGAGCTTTTGCAGCATAGTGTTTGTGACTATGAGCATTAGAAGGTAAAGCATAATGTATTTAAAAATAGCACTTAAATAATGAATGCAGCTAAATATAAACAATATTATCAAAATATAAATAATACTACTGTCATATAAACGCAGCCTTCTAATGTACTTGTATTTGCCATAGCCCAAAATAATTTCCAAAATACAACTGTGTTATTCTCTATGGGTTCTTCACTGTGCTTCTTCCCTGTCTCTTTATTGTATTTATTTTGTCTTAAGCCAAAGGGAATTCTAGCACTCTTGGTAGTCAACATTTCTCTCATTTCTGTAGTAGCCAGACCCTCCAGAAGAGATGAGACTCGCGTTTTGTGGTAATGACAATGCCTCAGCCTACAACATCAGTGCTGGTGTCCTCAGGAATGTCTGCTTTGTGGATGCCCTCAACTTGGTCCCTCATGTCTTCCTGCTGTTTATCACCTTCCCAATTTTGTTCATTGGTGAGTTATTCTGTGGAGCTCTGCCATCCCACAAGCACTCGAGCATGTGTTTGTACTCAGTCGTGTTTGCATGGGCTTGGTGAAACCATTGGACGCTTTGTATTTATGAATTCTGAAAAAGAAGAGGCAGAATGGCTTCACCCAGAGGATGTGAGGCCAACCCGCTGAAATGTGGGAATTTTAGATGTAAATCTGAACTAATCAGCATGAAGAGATGGATGAGAACCAGAGAGATCAGATCCAAATGCTATGAAACTTCTCTCTGCAGAAGTTTTCCTTACATTCAAAACTGGCAACTGCAACCTGTTATTATTAGATATTAGAAAACTTAGGACAGTGGGTCTGAATTTCCTTAAGGTTATATGAATTACAGAGAATATCCAAAATGTTCACCTTGGATCTAAGGCTGGGTCAGGTGTAGGAAATATTTAAAATAGAATAATTGCTTCTTTTGCTAACATTTCCAAACAAAAGTAGAGTAAGAGAGAAAATTTTTTTCCTTACAGGAATAAAAAATATGAAATGAAAAATCTCTCTTGAGGAATTTAGGACTGTGGACTAACTCACATAGTCTTGTAAAAAAAACCCATTTAAGCTAGTACTTTAATGATAATTTTTTTCTACAGTTGTCTTTTTATCCCAGTGAACTTGGAATGGTGAAATAAATACAATTTATTACTTTTCCAGAGAGGTCAAACAGCGGTATTCTAACTGATCATAGGAGATTAAGAGACTTGAATAACCATCAAAAATATTAGTGAAAATAAATATTCTCCTGACAACTGCATGAGAAATGCCATGTCAGTTCTTCCATGTTACCTTCCTGGTGTTGCATGTGCAGATGATAATGCATTTCTTCCACAAGGAAGATTTGAATTTGGGACTGTATTTGAACATGAGATTTAAGGGCTTTTGTCGTGCAAAAAGTCTCCAAAGCAGTTGAATAAAATGCTACAGGAATCTGTGGGCTAAGAGACTCTATACCTAACTGTGACATGATCCAGTGACTAAAAACTAATTAAATAATTAACCAAGGGAATAAGAAACAAATTCTAACAAATTATAAAGACTAGAAAGAAACCCCAGGGTTATGGAAACTCTTTCTAAGAGTGCTGGATTTTTACTTCAGTCCTGGCTTTTCCTTTGAGGTGAGATGCAAATCATCCTTGAAGGACAAAGCTTTGTGCAGAGGTGTTTGATGGAAGTACAATGAGAGGTCTGAGGGAAGAAATAATATTTTAGAACACTCTAACATCAAGTGCTACTTCGATTTTTTTAGAGGTAGTAGCCAAATAATTTTGAAATAGTATGGCAGCTGCAGAAAATTCCCTCTATTTCGAAACAATGTTAGGAAAAAATATATTTTAAATTGTATGTTATTTATGTAAGTATGCTATTCTTTGTTTTCTATTTTCTGTATGCTAATTATCAGGGCAAATAGTTGTTGAACAGAGCATTAAAAACCAACTAGAGTCCATGGTATAGACAGACTCCAAACCAGAAATTTGTTGATGAGCTGTGTTTGTGCAGATGTATGGGCAAAGGAAAAATGAAAAATAGCTTGGGGAGAGACAAAGACCGGAGCAAGGTCAAAGAAAACCACATTAGATTAGGAAAGCCTTAGAGAACTATAGAAAAAGCTTGAGATAGCTATGGAGAAGAGAGAATCATTTGTTCTTGCAGTATTTTGTGCCTTAAACAAGGATGAAATGGTGACATGCTGACAGTTTCCAAGAATGAATAAACTTAGGGTTTGGTTTATGTGTTCCTGAGTCACCTGATGAGGCTCTAAGCACAATGAGGTGCTGCATCCTTGGTTAGCAAAAGCACATCCTGCCTTTTAAACCGAATTTGTTTTGTTTCCTTTTGTTTGGTTTCTTTACTTCCCCAAAATGTGCTGCTGTTGGGATTCCCTACAGGCTTTGGGAAGCCTGTCAGGGAATTCCAGGAGCTGCCTTACAGTAGGGGGGACTTTTTGGCTGACTCAGGACAGGCCTGTACCTGTGAGGGAAGCGATGGAGGCCAAGGCTCGCCGCCATGAGAGCCAACCCGCGGCCAGGCCTCGGCTTCCCCAGCCCTGGCACCTCCCTCACGTCCTCTGTGTCCCTCTTCTTGCTGGCCTCAGAGGGGATCTTGCCTGGAAAGGGCAGCTGACATCTGAGGTGATGACATGGAAATAGGCTTCAAGTTTAATTAATTGATTAATTAGTTGATTAATTAGAGTCCTGGTGCTGTATTGGGAGCTCTGCAGGGCCTGGGGTGCAGAGGCTGAGAAACTGTGAAATCACCCTTCAGCCTCCACTCAGACTGTGCTCCCAAACAGGCCTGAACCAGACAATAAATGTTACTTATTTCAAGTAAATGCATCTCTTTGGGGCCTCATTTGAGGATGCAACTTTTATGTCAGTTGGGAATTTTTCCTGCTCATCTCTGACTGTGAAAGACGTGAGGACGCCATCACTTCAGATCGATCAGTCCCTATTGTCTGATAGTGCCTCTTGTTTTATTGTTGTTGTTTTCTTACCATTTTTCTTGGCCAGGAATGACTTTTCTTTGATTGTAATTTGCAAAAAGTGTTGTCTCATTGTCTTTAGACTTTGATTTAAATTATGGGGCAACTGAGACACTCCTGGCTCATCTTCTTTGTAACAACAGCCCCTGTAGTCTCGTAGGTTTGTATCGATTACATATAAGCGTGGTCCAGAAAACTGCTAACCAGGTCAGTCAGTGACTTGCTGTGAGATAACCTTTCTCTTTCCTTGCTGTCATTCACCAGGCTGGGGAAGCCAGAGCTCCAAAGTGCAGATTCACCACAATACCTGGCTGCACTTCCCCGGGCACAACCTGCGGTGGATCCTGACGTTCACCCTGCTCTTCGTGCACGTGTGTGAAATAGCAGAGGGGATTGTTTCCGACACGTAAGTGGCAGAGTTTGGTGGGTAACCACACTAATTGCATTTGTTAATGAACAGTGTTAATGTCTGATGGGCTGGCTAGTAAGGCATGAGGAGGTTTTCCCCCATAAAATTCATAGAATCCTTTCATGAACTCTCACGGTTTTAATGGGACAAAGGTGAAGCTGTTGTTCCTAGCATTTATTCTTCTCTCAAGCTATAATGGCAAGCAAATATTGATCAAAGTTAAGCACTCATGAGGACAAAAATCCTTTTGTCTCTAGGAAATTGATGTTTGTCCTCTTCAATAGATTAGCAGAACACCTATGGTTTCACACAATGGTGAAAAAAGGCACCAAATTCATTAATTTATACCTTATTTATTTTCAGGCAAATGAAATCTCGCCACCTGCATCTCTTCCTACCAGCTATAATGGGATTTGTGGCTGCCACTGTATCCATAGTCTATTACCATAATATTGAAACATCCAACTTTCCAAAGTTACTGCTGGGTAAGTCTAAGTCTGGTATTTATGTACTCTTAAAAATCCTAGTACCAAAGTCAGCTTTGTAGGTTGAGGAAGATGGTGGAATGTGTGAGAATATTAAAACAGAGAGGAATAACTCTCTCTTCTTGCAACTGGTAGTCTCATAGGAATTACTGCACCTTTCATAAGGTACACACTGAAAACTACTTTTTAGATTTCTACAAAAGAGAAAGTTTTGCATGCCTGTTGCATTTCTATCACAAGCTTTTAGGTATTTTTTAACACTGCTGAGGAAAAACTTGTCTGCATTCAAAAGGGCTATTTCAAAACTCTAGTTTGAATAGTGATCTGACCACAAACTCTCCTGTGCAGATGTTGCTCTTTCTCAACATCTTTTGTAGCTGATTCTGATATGATCCCATCTGCTCTCTCAGTCAGGAGATGGTCAGAGCAGACATTGCAGAATGATGTTCCATACAAGTATATTGTCCAAATTGCCTGTAGCTCAACCACCTGACCAAGCCCTTGACAGATATCAGTTAGGATGCAGGATAAGACGAAATTCCGTAAATTCTTTTTCAAAATGAGCACATTTACATATTCTCACTTGGGATGCATCCTGCTTTTTCTAGGCGGCAATATGACTTTTGTGAAGTTATGTGCCTTTTCCTTCACTTAAAGAACAAAGTTCCCCTTCAGATTAAGTCCCCTTCAGTGGACATTTGTACCTGTTTGAAGATCTGCCATTGTGGATCTGTTTGAAGGGTTGTGGCCCAGGAAAGAAAACAGTGGCAGGTGACATAGAGGATCACTGTGCGTGCACTGTATCAAGCCATGGAAGCTAAAATGCTGTGTTACACTTATTAATTTTTTTTTTAAGTTATTCACGTGCACCTGTTTTACAGCCCTGTTCCTTTACTGGATAATGGCCTTTGTCACCAAAACCATCAAGCTTGTCAGATACTGCCAGGACGGGGTGCCTTTTTCTCAGCTGCGTTTCTGCATCACTGGAATCATGGTCATCCTCTATGGGCTGCTGATGGCTGTGGAGATCAATGTCATCCGAGTCAGGGTATGTGGCTTCTTCCTCAGGATCTGGAAAAATATCAGTGGTATCATGGGGCTGAAGATGGCTCCTTAGTCCCAGGAACTCTGGATTGTGTCAAGCTTAGGCCCAAGTTCAGCTTAGCCATAAAGGTTTGGTTAATTCTGTGGAAATCAGTGGTTATTTAAATCTCTTTAAAACATGTGTACTTGATGTATCCCCTAGGCTTGGTATGTGTGTGTGTGCCTGTGTGCATCTATCCCCACAAACTGCACACATATTTGTGTAGATAGATGCATATTTGTGCACAGGAGGAAGGTATAGGTGGATGCAATCTGTAAAATATGTGCTGTGTTAGTGTTGATGAGCTATTTATGTAGTGAATCTCTAAGTTAGCATATGTTCTTACCTATGATAACTTAAAATTATTTCCCAATAATTCATTTTTACTGTTTTTCAGCTTGAGATAGGTGGTACTGATAGGGTTCAGAACAGTATCCACATCCCATGTTGCTCAATTGTTTGCCAGGTATCTGTCAGAATGGAAATGCTCCTATTTACACGCAAATTTATATTTAAATTCAACATATAATTACCTCTAAAAGCAAATCTGAGACTGTGGTTGTCTTGCATATAGTTTTTACTAAAAATTACTATCAATAAGATAATTTCTGAGCCCATGTTTGTCTATTTCCTCCTCTGCAGAGGTATGTGTTTTTCATGAACCCTCAGAAAGTAAAGCCTCCAGAGGATCTGCAGGATCTGGGGGTGAGGTTCCTGCAGCCATTTGTCAATTTGCTCTCAAAGGCAACTTACTGGTGGATGAACACTCTCATTATTTCTGCTCACAAGAAGCCTGTGGACCTGAAGGCCATTGGGAAGCTCCCAATTGCAATGAGAGCACTGACAAATTATGTCTGTCTCAAAGAAGCCTATGAGGAACAAAAGGTAATAACAGGTGTCCATGTCACTGTTCAGCCTTAGAAAGCCAAAGTGTTACTTTGAATTTCTTCAGCTTTCATGAAATCCTTGTTTGAGAAATTTTTGAACTTAGGACTGTTTGTTCCAAGGTGAAACATTGGCGTAGGAAGTTGCAATCCAATAGTTACTGTTTTGTTTTAAGTGAATTTATAGCAGGAGAGAGTTGCCAAACTGAGTGCAACTGGAAACGAAATCTGCAACAGACTGATCACTTGCTAGATTTTAATAGTGAAAGATTTGTTTAAATCTTAGCTACTTATGAAACTGGAAGATATTCAGTCCATAGTTTCAGCTGGAAACACTCATCTTCACTTTTTTTTTTTTCTTCAGACAGAAATAGTCAAAACCACACATCAAGAATAGCCAAAACACTGGTGTCTTAGCAGTGATTTAGTCACCAATCCCAAACACAGAACCATACAGACTGCAATGAAGAAAATTAACTCCATCCCAGCCAGACCCAGTGCAGAAAGCCTAGTTGGGAAAACTCACTGGGTAGGGCAGGATTTTCCAGGGAAACTTCTGGATGCATTTAGGCAGCTCTTTGCTCCCAGCAGCTAAAGGAGCTGCAGGGTCTGTTCTGTGTCCTCTGAGATGAAACAATTATCAGTAAAATTGTTTATATTTTAATAGATATAGGTTGCTTCTCTTTCCTGCAGTTGAGGATTACAGAGACCAGAGATCAAGATCCTTCTACTTTAGGCAGAAAACATCGGAGTTTTTGGAACTGAGCTTTTCATAGCAGCCTGGGAGAGGTGCATCCCTTAGACCAGCCCTTTAAGGTGCCTAAACCCTGCTTAAAGAGGCCAAAGAGGGACATGCACCCACTTGGCCCAAGCACCTGAATCTGTGCCATTTTTGATGACAGGCATGACAGCTGGATGCCAGCATTTGTCTGTAGCTCATTCACATCTGCAGATACTGTCTGTGGCTGCACAAAAATGCAGTTCAGATGCCAAAAGGCAAGTTAAATGTGCATTTCTCATGTGCATGACCACAAATTTTCAGCGTGTATCTTCCCTCAGTGTCATGCACATATAAACACTTGCATAAATGTTACGTATGCAGTTACACTCACATTTCTGATGCTGCCTTACATCAGGTATTTTGTATTTTGTAGTTGTCTAAAGTTTTGAGATTAACCACAGCCTCTAGCACATTTGTGCTACTATTCAAAAACAGGCTGCAAACCTAAAGTAAACTGGTATTTTGTAGATAAAGTTAAAGTAAACCAAATGGCTAAAGCAAATCCAAGGAGCCAGGCAGTGGGATTCACTGCAGTTTCATTCCTGTGGAGAAATGTGTTGGCTTGAGCCTGGTTGGGCCAGAAAACAGCCACTGAGTTAGGAAAATACTTCAGGCTGGAGTGGGGTCTGCAGTCTGGAGGAGGTGATATGCCCTGTCTCTGCTACCAAATGTGTATTTTACACTAATCTCCTGCAACTGGGGAGGAGAGCCCCACAGTCTCCTCTGGATTAAGTGGGGTTACCCCAGCCTGTGCCTGGAGATAGCTGATCTCGGCTGTGCTCCACAGCCCTGTAGAGAGAAAACTCCTGTTCCTTCCCAAACCCTTCTCACACCTTGATGAAAGATGCTGAACATGACCCTGAATACTCTGTATTGTGAAATGCCTTTGAGACAGCTCACATGACATTGTCTTGCTATCTCTTCTGCATGCTATGAAAATGGAAATCATGGTATCAATTCTCACATAATTCCATTAACACCCCCCTCAAAAAAAAAAAAAAAACCCAGCTGATCTTGTTTCTGTTGTTACTTGGCTTTTGTTTCAGTTTGTATTGAAGCAGTCTAGATGTTTCACACCACATATCAATGCATCATATCTCACATATCCAAAAATAGATTTAGCACAGTGGTATTATACTTGGCTTACCTCACCAGCCTGAATCCTGTATAATTTGTCCTGATGGTCAATAGAAAGCTTTTCTTTTGTGCACGTCAAGGACCATTAGTTTCCTGTGTCTGCTATTCATGTGCCACTATGGCTCTTACCTGTTAGGGCCAAGAAAAGGAGAAATGAAATTGTGTGAACTATCAGTCACAGGGACAGGGCACTGCCAGCTCCAGAACTATGGGAACAGTCAGATTTCCATATTTACTAAAGCAAACCTTACGGGTGACTTGATTTATCAGGAAGCACTGTCTCACTGCCCTTTATTCCAACTGTGGAGTGCCCAAGGTAGAGGAAATTACAGGAATTTGAAAGGAAGTTGACAAAGACAAGGAAAACCTAATCAAGTGGCAAAACTGAGAACAGCAGCCCAGACTGCTTAATTATCACCACAACATTCTGTGCAAGCCCATAACACTCAAGGACCATTCTGGAAAAGAAATGATGATTAGAAAAAGGTCTTTGTCTCATTTCCTGTTACCTGCATTAGCTAATATGAAGTCCTGATTAAAAACAAGGAGAAAAAACAGTGTTTATCAATAAATTAGATAACTTATTTAGTAATTTTTTCCAATGAAAAGGAAACAAATTTAATATAGTGATGACCAATGTGTGAATTGCAGTAATAGTGAAAATGGCTATTAAGTTGTTATAGAGAAATAAGGATTTGCTCTTGCCATTTAACAAATTTACTATTAATTGAAAGCCCAGAATAATATAACATTTTTTCCCCCAAAAGATGGCAGCCATTTACCCAATAAATTAGCTTAGCTCCTCTCAAGCTGTTAAAGTTATTAATCATTTAGTTGAGGAGGGTGATTAACCCTTTAGGCCACAAATTCAGAACCTTTTGTCTGGGCAACTCACATGTGGCCCTTGTGCTCTTTCTTTCCTCAGAGGAAGCAGTTTCATTCTCACCCCTTTCTGAAATGGTAGCTCTAATTTGACCCCATGGTGCTTATTTCTCCAGCCTAAGCTCCTTGGCATTGGCCTGGCCCAGTCTCTGGCAGCCATCTGATCCACCTGCACATTTTTGGCACCATGCATATAATCCATCTCACCGTGGAAATAGCATAAAAGGGAAAAACTGAGAAAAGAGGGGGGAAAAAAAGACATGAGGCAGGCAGGCAGGTTTCAGGCACATTTGCTTTTTCTTTGGTGAACTTGCTGGGGCAGGAGGTGGTTGTTGCTGGGCTGTGCTTAAAATGTCTCTGTGCATGCTCAAGAGGGCTTGGCTTGGATTGCAGCTTGCAGGCATCAGTGCTACTTGAGAAATGACAGATGCTTGTTTAAAGTGTCAAAAGCTGCTGCCTGAAGTGCAAGGAAGCACTCTGCAGAGCACAGCTCTGGTCAGTAGAACTCTTCCTTTGTTAAACTGAAAGGACCTCAGAGATATCAGGACTCCTCTGATTACACAAAGCCATATCTGCTGGTTGGTGTTTTAGCCAAGAGCTGTGATACTGTGTAAATTCACAGATCTGAAAGCTAGAAAGGACCCCTGGTTAATTTAATCTTAGTTCCCATCCTGGTCTGCTGCTTTCATTTTTTGAGCACAGTTATCATTGATTGGTTGAATTTTGTCATTCTGGAGGGCATCCAAGAGACGGAAAAAATTCCACATAAATTAAATTAAACTATATTCTTGTAATTGTAATGTATTTTTCCTGAAATCAGAGGCCTTTACAGCTTGTGAAACCAGGATTACCCACGTGAGCAAAGGGCTGAAATGTCAGACCTTTCCCTGAGCGCATATGTGACAAGGAACAATGGCTGCCAGCCAGGATGATAATCTGCTAGCATTCCTGTGTTCACAGACTGGGGAAAGTGGTGGGATATAGAGGTGAGAAACCACAGTTACCAAGGAGAGGCAGAATTGGAATTTGCTGTGAAGAATGTCTGAAATTTGTTGATAATTACAACATGTTTGCTGTCTCACCTGGTCCAAACCACCTTTCAAGAACATTTTGAGCATCCAGACAGGAATGTTGCCATATAAAGCCTGTGAGGCTTCTCTTAATGCACAGTGTACCTGTTTTTGTTTTCCAGAAAAAGGTGGAGGACCATCCCAACCGGAGTCCCTCCATTTGGCTGGCCATGTACAGCGCCTTTGGACGGCCAATCCTGCTCAGCAGCACCTTCCGCTACCTGGCCGACCTGCTGGGCTTTGCTGGGCCACTCTGCATTTCTGGCATTGTCCAGGGCTTCCAGAACACAACCAATAATACAAATAGCACAGAAAAGGTAACCTGACAATGTGGAATTAAAGGCTCTGGTAGTAGTTTTGGAGTCGTATCAGGTATTCAAGACAGCTGGCTGCATGCTTTGATAGGTGTGTGGTCATCACTGTGTTATTTCATGGTTTCCCTCAGGCAAATTGAGTATTTCTATTGTGAGAGTCAAGTTATAAACCTGAGCAGTGGGAACTCTGGGTAGGAGTGGAACACAGGTTGTGGAGGCTCCCCCCAGCTCCCAGCCATGTTTCTTGATGGAGTCATCCCAGCAGTTCTGGGAAGAAGGAATGACTTTTTCTGCTCCTCTTGAACTGTGCCTGTTTGTTTCAGGCAGGACACACACTGATGGTGCCTCAGTGATGCATCCAGCCTGGGAATTTTGCTTAATTCCTGCCCATTTGTCAGTTATGCTTCATTGACAGTTTTGAGTTGCTCATTTCAAAAGCACTGAGACTGAACTTTCAGGGATCATCTCTAAATGTTGAGCAAGCCTCTGATACAGAACATTTTCTATCATAAGAAAAACAATTTATGAGTAAATAATGAAAAGATACAGGCAAAATTATTTTACTGAGAGCAGAGAAGAAATGACAAAGATTTTTCTCCATCTGTCTTCTGATAAAGGAACATCTCCATACAGGTTTTGGAGTCTTTTATCTCTGAATGAGCAGATAGATATGGAATAATGGAATGGCATTGTCCTCTCCAGATAAAGTATTTGACTATCATCACTATCCAAATATCTTTTTCTTGGCTGCTCACTCCTGACATTAATTTTCTTGACTGATGGTCTCAGTTTGGCTTGAGGCTTTCACTGCACTGAACAAGATTTTAATTATACAGCTTATCAAATAAAGCTTTTTAATCATCCTTGAACCTGCACATGCTGGATTTGAGCCACAGAGTTACAAGGCAATGTTTTGCCTTTAAAAATGTTGGGGTTTTTTGCACAGTGAACAAACAAAGTATTTAAGCTTGAAAATAATTTCTGGATCTCAGATTTAGGAATCTGTACCTTGTCTGCTTCCTTTATCTTTTGTACTCTTCAGTGTAGTGGCTTCAGTTGTGACATTTTAGAGTTTTAATGAGCATTGGCTAAGTGGAAGATTGGAATCATTGGAAATCTTGAAAGCACTTGGCTTGGTGAGAGTCACTATTTCTCTTGGATACATTTCAGAATGTATTTGTCTTTCATTTATGGATTTTGATAAACTTTCTCTTGGTTGTTCTTGCCATTAAACATTTCTCCTTTAAATTCTCTCTAGTTCCAATCAATGTGAATACTTTTAATTTTATGCTTATTCTGCCTTAATTCCCAAGAATTCTATATACATTGGGAAAAGGTATCTACAAATGTTATTTTCTTATTGATATCCTCATTGTGAAAACAAGGGGAAGTTAGATGCAGCAGAACATTAAGAGAAAAGTTTTCAAATATATTTATCTATCATTTATACACTTAAGCAGCTCTTTTTTCAAGGAGTCTCAGGCAGATGGCTTTCTTCCTTATATTGCCCATACCTGTCATCTCAGAATAAGGCTGGATATTTCAGTAGAATGAGCTTTTTCCTTCTATTTTTTTTTCTCTCTCTCTTTTTTCTTTTTTTTTTTCCCTGTAAGAATTCCAGTACATCCTGCTTCCAGCTGGGTCGGAAATACCAAAGGAACAGTCTTCCTTGGACAAATGTATTTTGGTACATTTGTTTCCTTTTCTGCCTGAATCAGAGCAGAACAGTGAACACAAAAACTAGAAAATGAAAACAAAGGGCTTTAAACAAGATTTTTTTTCTCTTCCATGTTGAGGCATTTAAATCTCATTTTGTGCAGAATCCTGTCATGTATAGCAATATTATTCAGAATTTATGGGTATCATAGACTATATTTCTGGAAGGAATTGTTTCTATAATATGCAAATGTAACATAAATAACCAATCCCATATAATAAAAAATATTTTCTTGCAGCTTCTCTGTGGGGCAGGTTTACTGAGCTTTATTTTCTACTGAGTAGCATTTCTATCCTACAAATCACCAAAATTTGATGGGGAAACTAAAGACAAGGCAGACATGGTGATCTTATTGTTCCTTTCCTGCTAGAACTGAATCATTTTAGAACTGCTAAAAGATCTCAATCCTCAGTCTTTGGAACAGGAGTGGAATTTTAAATTTGTATCCAAATGATTTTGGTATAGAGGTCAATGAGAAATCTGATTTCTATAAGTATCCCATAATACCATCAGTGTGTTTTATTCTATCCAATGCAATGAATACATTTGCTTGTTTCCAGCTTCTCGGGAATATACAATCCCTCTTATGGCACTTGCATCATCTTTTCCTTTCTTTTTAGGTGAAGGATCCATCGAACTCCTACCTTTCATCAGAGGAATTCCTCAGGAATGTTTATGTCTTGGCAGTCCTTCTCTTCCTGGCCCTTATCCTGCAGAGGACATTCCTGCAGGCCTCCTACTATGTGACTACAGAGACTGGCATCAACCTCCGGGGTGCCTTACTGGTGAGCAGAGATCTGCCAGGAGATTCACTAATAACAGTTACAGCTTTGTGCTTTCATTTGTCTCATTCTTTACCCGAAGACTGATTTGGAATGATGGTTTCAGAGAAGATATGTGCTGTATTTCTGTATTTTTATACAAAAAACTGGACAAAGTAGTGCTGGCAAACTGCTGGCAGCAATTCCTTTTGCTAAAAACGAATCCCATCATTCTAACCTGTTGGAAGTTTAACACCCATAAAAAACCCATGCATATAAAAATACATTTTTGCAGACAATCAGCGATAGGTGAAGGTCAGCTGTGTCATTTTGGCTCTGTGTCTGCTTTGTTCATTTGCTTTATGAGTTTGCTTCTGTTGACTGTGGATAGAGTTATCTGCAGAGTGTGCCTTGTTTTATGGGAACGCTGTGCATGCGTCGGGAGTGGTGACTCTGGATATTTATGCCCTTTAGCACAGAGCCCTGTGGGATGGGACGGGAGTGATTCATCTGCAGGGCTGTGTCTGTAACCCCAGCATCCCTTAACCCTCTGTGAGAGCCTTGTTTATGAACTGGAGCCAGCAGCTCCAGCCCAGCACGTTGAGGGGGGTGTAGCAGGGCTCTGCACAGACCAAACTCCACAGGCAGCAGTAGCAATCCAGAAGCTGGAACTGATGTTTTGCCAGATGTATCTAACCATGGGAATATCATCTCAGCATGGAAGAGGCTTTCTTTTTTTTTTTACTTGCTCTGATTGATGAAGCTGCTTCAAACGTTTTCTGCTTCTCCCAGGATAGATGGTACACACTTGGGGATGAAAGGGAACCTGATTATTTCCTTTTTGTGATTCCTTTTTGTGATGCCCACTTACCAAAATTGGGACTCTGATGAGCATATACAGCTGATTTAATTCACCAGGAATTTCTGATTAGTTCTACAGGATATACTTTATTCATGAAGAAAATGGATCAAAAAGGACAAATTATTTTTTAAACTTCCTTGGAGCTGCAGGGTTTGATGTTTGGTCATAACTGCAAACTGGGCTCACAATATTTGTCTTTAAAATTCAATAGATGTAAGCCCTGATTAATTTTAAACCCCATTAAACTCCTACAAATTTTATGGAAAGGAATGGACAGGTAAGGGAGGGAAACCCAAAGGAATACATACCCACTCTAATCAAACTTCACAGCATGAATTTACCTGTCTTATCAGAAAGGATCTCTTTGACAGAAAAGCAGGCTCACCAAATGCTTGTTAAAAAGATTCTTCGGCCAATTTCCTAAATTTTGATATTTTGTTGTCATTTTTTGTTTTATTTTAGGTCTGCATTAAGCAACAAACCTTTTAAGAGGAATTGGAGTTTTTTTAAGTCAGTTCTCTCTCTTGTGCTTTCTCTCACTCTGTCTCCATCTCTCTCTGTCTCAGGTGAGAGACTGGGAGAAGGGTTGTCCTAGGTAAAGGCTGATGATGCAGTTTGAAACATCCCACTGCTACTGTTCTTTCATAATTACATCATTTTAATAACTTCCTTTTTTTCCCCTTTCTTACAGGCAATGATATACAATAAGATCCTGAGGCTTTCTACATCCAACTTGTCCATGGGAGAGATGACACTGGGACAAATCAATAACTTGGTTGCCATAGAAACCAACCAATTAATGTGGTTCTTGTTCCTGTGCCCCAATCTGTGGGCAATGCCTGTTCAGGTAGAGCACCCAAGTGAGGGTCTGATTTCAGAGATCCTCCAGCCTGGCTGAGGAGAGTGCATGTCTGAGACACTGCTACAAAATCCACAGGGGAACCTGCACTTCCACTAAGATTAACAAGCCACAAGAAAAGTGGCCTAAGGGCTGGAAAGGTGTCTCTGCAAGGGCCAGTGAAGAGAGTGGGGTTTATTAGCAGGATTGCCATGTCTGTGACTTGAAGAATAAGGACCTGCAATCCTTTTCCTGCTTGTACTTCTTCCACTGCTGACACAAATCCATTGCTTTTACTTTGCCACTTGGCATCAGCTTCTGCAGTGTCCACTTGTAAATGGGTTTTGAGGCAGGACCAACAACAATTGAATCCTGCTCCATGACTGACATGAACACTGACAGTGCTCAGAGGAGCTCTCATCTAAGCAAACTTAGTCACTGAACACATCTGCTTTTAACAAGGCTGGGAAAGAAATGGAGGCAGATCTGCAGGAAGGAAAGGTTGAGATCATTTAGCTTGAAAGAAATCTTTAAAAATGCCAATGACTTAATGACCTAAGACATGCTGATTTTCTATGAAGCTTGGACTCCTGTAGCCTTTTCAGAATTTTAGCTCAGGGTGTGTTTGGCATGGTCCTTACCTTTCAGTGATCCCACTGACACTGAAGAATTTTTTAAAGGGATAGAACCAACTCTTATAGTAGATCTGTTTTGCTGAATTTCCTGAAACTGTATCAGTAATCTATTTTATTAGTTAGTAATTACTACTATTAATGGGTTGGTTAGGGTTTAGAGTGTCATGAAATAGTTTATGAAAAAAAAAGAAAAAAAAAGGCTACCTGGAAACAGAAATTAGCAATAATATATAGGGTTTCATGTCAATGTTTCACATCCTGTGAAGCGGATGAAAGTGTTCAATACTTTGAAAGTTATTAAATGAACAGGTTAGGCGTGGTAATTTGAAGTACAGAAGCCTGAAAAGCTAAGTATTGCTTTAAAAATGTTAAACTCCATTGATTCTTACTTCTGATATTGTATAATAAGAAGGGAGATTTAAAGATAGTCTTTTTTAAGAGATGGAAGTATGAGATATGCAACTAATTCTGTATGTCCTCTTATCACTGAGGACATCTCTCTACCACAAAGTAGAGCTTTTAATAGAAATATTTATATAGCAGAGCTTGAATTAACTTAGGAACCAGAATCACAGCAGCCATATCACAGCCATTCCCAGGTAACCTTCTGTGGGAGGTGTTCTGAAACCCTTTGCAAGGCTAAGGCAGCATTTTCCTCCAGAGCTTTGTGGTATTGATGCCCAAGCTCAGTTTGTGTCAGTCCCAGCACATCTGCTTCATGCTTCAGTGCCTGTCTGTGATGTCCCTCTGCCTGCAGTTGCACAGGGACACTACAACAGAATGCAACTGTGATCCATGACAGCCCTAAGACCTCTGAATGCTTCCAGAGTGAGGTAAGGCACTCTAGTGTAAACAGGACTTGAGGCCAGGAGCTCTGTAAAATGCCTCGGGGCAAGCACCATCATTTTAGTGCTCCTTTAGTTTTGTGGAAACCCAGTCAGGAATTAGAACTACCAGGCACTAACACAAACTATTTAGTTAATGTCAAAAAGAAAGGCTTCTGGGTTTATTTCCCACACTTTCCAAATGTGACCTCCTGAAGTATGGGCTCAGCTGATTCCTATGAACCATTTAAGTGTTTATTAGGAGAACAAACATTTTTCTCTTGGTGTGGTGCTGGCATATTGAAATCTACTTTTTTTTTTTTTTCCCCTCCTATGTTGCTTTTCTCTTCACAGATAATAATGGGTGTGATCCTCCTCTATAACCTACTGGGAGTGAGTGCCTTGGTCGGGGCTGCTGTCATTGTGCTCTTAGCTCCCATCCAGTACTTCATAGCCACCAAGCTGGCTGAGGCTCAGAAAAGCACTCTTGTAAGTGAATTATTTCAGTGACTTTTGTGATCCAGAAATGAGAACAGGATTTCTGGGTTCTGTGCTTGTAGTTAGTGAAAAACACTGTGTGTGTTTGGGCAGGCCATCCCTCAGTTTCACTGTCCCTGTCTGTTTTTCTGTGGCTCTGGGTCTCTTCCTTCCTCACAATTTGTCAGAAGAGAATATCAAAAAAGTATGTGGGCCTTGACCTGCCTTCTCTGCAAAGAGTGTTTTTAATCCAACTAGCACAATTCTGTCTGAATTCCACTCCATGAAAGGGTGTTATTCCCACATGCAGATGGTGTATTTCATGGGATGTTAGCAAACAGTGCAAATGACTGATAAATTATAGCAGGGAAGTATTAAAGAATGTGCACAACCTCCCTCTTTAAAATCTAGAGTTTTTTTACTCTCAACCCAAGCTTTGGTATTCTCTAAAAATCAGTTTGCATTGCTGGATTATTATCTATTCATACCTAAATTCTTCAGTTCTATAAGTTTATTTTTCTGCCTCATTAAGTTCACCAATTAGAAATGTTTTCTGCTCCTCTGTCTAATTTTTACCTTTATTGCTGTGACCCTTGAACTTTTAAAATAAGTCTTTGATGTTTAAGTTGCCAAATATTTAGAGCTCCTTTTAATCTTAATATTCAGTAAGCAAATTATTGATGCATGGATCTAATTGCCAGCACATTTCAATCCTGTTGAGTTGTGCCAGTTTTTATAACCTGTACAAATTGTACAGAGGATTTACTTTTGCATAATTTCAGATATAATCTCAATCCTTCCTGCTGCTCTATTCTGATTTCCTCTGACTCTTAACATCTTTTGGATTATGTTTTTACCAAAACTCATGATTTTACCAAAACTTATGATTACTGTTTTCTGATGAGGGGAAATTAGCTAAATACGTTGATAAATATCTCACTTATTTTCACAACTGTATCCCAGAATGATTCTTACATCAGCAAATACACACATTTAGGTTTCTGTCTATTGTTACGAATACCATTGGCCTAACAACACACCTCCCTGAGTTTCATCCTCTCTTGAAGGGTTGGGATGTTTTGAGTTGGTTTTTTTTTGCAGAAAAGGGTCACTTAATTTCCCCTAATGATCGTAAATACTTTGATATCTCCAAAGAAAATAAAATGTTATCTTCTTTTTCTCTGTATGGCACCTGTACAAAATCACAAACGAACAAAATTGTTTTTTAAAATGAATTTAACAACAGAAGTGAGGAGAAAAGAGGGTTGTCATTAATACTAGAAATAGTTACAATTTTTTCCCTGGTTTTCTCTTGAAATGAAGGACTATTCTACTGAGAGATTAAAGAAAACCAATGAGATACTCAAAGGCATTAAGCTATTAAAGCTGTATGCCTGGGAGCACATATTTTGTACAAGTGTGGAAGAAACGAGAATGAAAGAGCTCACCAGTCTCAAAACCTTTGCACTTCATACATCTCTTTCCAGTAAGTAACTGTGTTTTTAGTGCTCAGAAAAGTGTCCTGTTTTTCATGTCAACATTCCTCCCAACTTCAACTAAAGAGAGATACAGCTGTGCCTGTATTTTGTCTGTGTGTAATGTCATTAAAATAAAAAGGTGTGATAAATACATAACACAGAAATTCCAAAGTTAATTAAAATATTGTTGATTTTTTTGCAGTAAGTTTTCTGTTACCTTCATTGTGACATTACAGTTAGGAGTTTCTCTACAGTAAGAAGGCTCCAGATAATATTGTCAGCTCTGACTGCAGCAAAGATAAATTATGTTTTCTGCATATAAATTGTGTTTTCTGCAATGTAGAAGGATTGAGTAATGTTTTAGTTGTGTTTCATATTAATTGTGCACATAATGATTTTTATCCCAGTTTAGTAGAGTAGACAAATGAGAGAATTCCATGGCTTTTTTGTTGGTGTGTTTAAGATATCTATCAGGGAAGGAAATTTCTTCCTTCAGACTAATTTTCCTTTGAGAGTTTTAATTACTTGAATTGGACATAACTAGATTATTTTAGTGTCATACACTTACTGTAAAATTGTTTTTTGTTTATTTCCCATAATCTGATGCTTGTTTTATTTCTATTTCCCAGTTTTTATGAATGCAGCCATACCAATAGCAGCTGTTCTTGCAGTAAGATATGTTTTTTTCAGTTTTCCTTATAAAAAAGGGAAAGTGGGGGGGAGGGGGTGTAAAAAGGATAAATAGTCAACATTGTTATTGTAGGACCTATTCTTTATAAAGCCAGCAGATGAGTTAAGGTGCCCCTGCTAACTGTAGGAGGGCATGACACTGAAAGTTTTTGTTCCCAGAAGATGGGTTGGTAAAACCAAAGAGAAAAATAATATTTTTCTATAAGTAAGAAAAATCATTACATCTTGAATTTTTTACGGAAGGAAGGAAGGAAGGAAGGAAGGAAGGAAGGAAGGAAGGAAGGAAGGAAGGAAGGAAGGAAGGAAGGAAGGAAGGAA